ACAGTGAGATACCACTTCACACCCACTAGAATGGCTATAATAAAAAAAAAGACAATAACAAGTATTGGTGAGGAGGTGAAGAAATCAGAACCTTTATGCATTGCTGGTGGGAATGTAAAATGGTACAGCCACTGTGAAAGAGTCTGGTAGTGAAACAAGACAATAGGCCCCAAAGGGAGTTGCTTACCCTAAGCCTCTTGTTATCAAACTAATACTTAATTACAGTTTCAGCTCTCCCAGAAATGGAATCTTTACACTTGGAGTGCGGGTGAATTTCCCGCCAAAATATAAGATGGCTCTGTCTTTTGGTTTTGTTCCATCCACCAAAAGGGTGGATTACAAACAAATATTTGGTAATACGCAGTTACAATCGGCCTGAGTTTACACGTTTCCCGCACTCCACCGCAAATCTATATGAACCGAGTTAAAGACGGCTCCCGCGGAGTACGCGCAATTCACGCGAGCCGACTTAACTCGTTTCCCGCACTCCAAGTGTTTAAACAGTCAAGGAAGAACCCCCTGATTACCACTAGTCACATAATCTGATAGACCACTGCCTTCCCCTAAGCAGGGAAGGGAACATCCAGCCCTCAGGCCATATAAGGCCTAGGCCAGTGGTCCGCAAACTCATTAGTCAACAGAGCCAAATATCAACAGTACAACGATTGAAATTTCTTTTGAGAGCCAAGTTTTTTAAACTTAAACTATATAGGTAGGTACATTGTTATTAACTTAATTAGGGTACTCCTAAGGCTTAGGAAGAGCCACACTCAAGGGGCCAAAGAGCCGCATGTGGCTCGCGAGCCGCAGTTTGCAGACCACGAGCCTAGGAAATCATTTGATTTGGCCCCACCAAGGCATTAGGGGTGAGGTAATTAAATGTTTAACCAAATATAGCACGCTAATTTTTAAGCTGACAATTTTATATGGATTATGTTATAAATATTCAAATGGCCCTTGTCAGAAAGAGGTTCCCCACCCCTGCCCTAAAGAAAAGTGACATTACTAGCTATAACTAACTCCCACTCCCTTCTGACTATAAAAGTCTTTCATTCTGTACAGCTCTTCAGAGCTCCTTTCTATCTGCTAGATTGGATCTGCCCAATTCATGAATTGTTGAATAAAGCCAATAAGATCTTCAAAGTTTACTCAGTTGAATTTTGTTTTTTTAACACATACTAGTAAGTTACCATATGACTCAGCAATTCCACTCCCAGGGATCCACCCCAGAGAACTGAAAACATATGTCCACACAAAAACTTGTACACGAATATTTATAGAAGCATTGTTCATAACACCAAAAATAATGAAAACCACCCAAATGTTTATTAATGGATGATGTATAAATAAAATCTGTTATAGCTATGCAATGGAATATTATGCAATTAAAAGGAGTGGAGTACAATATGGATAAGCTTTGAAAACATTATGCTAAGATGGAAAGAACCACATATTTTATGATTCCATTTACATGAAATGTCCAGAATAGGCAAATGTGTAGAAGTAGGAAGTAGATTGGTGGTGCCAAGAGCTGGAGTGAAAGAGAAATGGGAACTGATTGTTAATGGAAAAGGGGTTTATTTTCAGGACAATGTTCCTAAATTTCATGGCGATGCTTGCATAACTCTGTAAATATACTAAAAAACACTGAATTGTATACCTTAAATGGATAAATTGAATGGTATGTGAATTATATCACAATAAACTTGTGTTTAAAGCCCTATTTAATGTGAACAGACCAAAGGCACCTAGTTTACTTAGTAGAGCATGAGACTTAATGTGAAGCGGTTGGTTGCCAATTAGAGACCTGAGAGGAAGGGGCTGACTGCTCAGATCACTCCCCTGATTGTTACTAAAGAGTCCTTATCAAGTCCAGAGAAAGATACAGATTCAGATAGGGATGTTGGTAACCAAACAGCTTTAACTCCCTTAGGCTTATACTTGACCAGGAGAGATGGCTGCACAGCACAGCCACAAGTAATCCTAATCAACCCACTTTATTGCTCCCACAATCTGCTCTCTCAGGGTCCCTATCACTCTCCTGAACTGTACTAATGCCTCTCAATTCACCGAAACTTGTCTAATCTGTCCCAACTTCATACTCTGAAATAGGTGGCTGTATAATCTCATCTTCCATGGGTAAGAAAACACTATAATATTCCTCAAGCAAGGACTGTATGCCAGGCACGGACTTGTTTAATTCTTACAACAGTATTACGAAATATGTAGCAATATTTTCATTTCCATTTTACAGATTGAGAGACTGAGGCAGGGGTCCTCAAACTTTTTAAACAGGGGGCCAGTTCACTGTCCCTCAGACCGTTGGAGGGCCGGATTATAGTTTAAAAAAAAACTATGAACAAATTCCTATGCACACTGCACATATCTTATTTTGAAGTAAAAACAAAACAAAACGGGAACAAATACAGTATTTGTATTTGCATGTGGCCCGCAGGCCATAGTTTGAGGACCCCTGGACTGAGGCATGGGATGTTTAGGTAATTTGGCCAAGGTCACAGAGCTACTCAGTGGCATGGCAAGGATTTAAACCCAGATTTATGCTGACAACAATGTGCTTAACCAATATGCCATTCTATGTTTCTAAGAAAAGCTCTTTCACACCCTTGCTAGTCACTCTCTCCATGTTTTGCATATGTGCAGTTATCTAGTAAAGAGCAATTTTGTGTCTTATTCACCTGGTTCCCATTTCTTCCACCAAACATAGTTTTCTTGAGGTTCAGATTCACTGTTCTGACCAATCAGAGCCCAAGACTGTTTTCCACATTACCAGTTTACCCAGTCTCCCACCCTGCTAGCACATTAATAGAAGTGTCCAAAATTTTGTGCAAGCATTCAGTGCAAAACTCTGAGCCGTTCCTCTACCTCTAGCTCAGCTGTCCTTTTTATTTATTTTACCTGGGGGTGGGGATGGGGTGGGCAGTGACACCTACTTCACTCACACATGCTGGTGAATATGTGATTAAATATAGACGGAAGTGACAAGAGTCCCTGTTGAGAGTTCAAAGCTAATTACATAAAGTGTCTTGAAAAGCATTTGAAAACTTGTAAAAAGTGTCAAGAGCCATAATGCTTTTTTAGAGACAGAAAAGTAAAGTATAAAAGATTAAAAGAGTCTGGATTTGTCCAGAGCTCTTCTTGGGCACGGGAATGACTGACTGGCTGGGGATGTAGCTGCAAACAACCTTCACTTCCAGAAAGAAGTGACCAAATGTTTTTACGTACATTTAAAAATATGTATTATTTTAGAGCAAGAAACGGAGGGGAGAGAGAGAGAGAGAGAGAGAGAGAGAGAGAGAGAGAGAAAGAAACATCAGTTACCTCCTACAACCCGGACACCCTGTTGTGTACGGGAGGATGCTCCAACCAACTGAGCCACACCGGCCAGGGCTTTGATTACATTTTAAAACAATATTTTTAACTAAAGGAAAGCACCTCCTTCTTTCCTTTGCATATATGCAGTGCCCGTCGTGCTCAATGCTGAAACATTCTGAGAGGCAGAAACTGTGAGCACCTGGACCACATTCCACAGTAAGTCTCAAGTACCCTTGGGTCCCTTTTGTGTCATCTATGGTAACTGTTTGACCTCCTCTGATTTCTGCACTGTGAGTACCTGGCACAGTGCCCTGTGTAGCTCAGGGGCTGAGCTGATCGAGGAAATGAAAAGGGCCTGAATGGCCCGACACAGGGAAAAGGTAATGGGAAGCCACCGAAGGGCTTTAAGCAAAGAAGGGTTCCAATAAAACCCAGGTTTTCCAAGGCACACTTTGGAGACTAGTTTGGAGAGAAGAATGACCCAGAGACTGCCTCAGCCAGAGACAAAGGCTGTATGAGCTATGGTGCTGGTGCTGGCAGAAGCCTGGGAAAGGGTAGGGAACCTGAACCACTAGGGCAGTGATGGCGAACCTATGACACGTGTGTCAGAGGTGACACGCGAACTCATTTTTTTGGTTGATTTTTCTTTGTTAAATGGCATTTAAATATATAAAATAAATATCAAAAATATAAGTCTTTGTTTTACTATGGTTGCAAATATCAAAAAATTTCTATATGTGACACGGCACCAGAGTTAAGTTAGGGTTTTTCAAAATGCTGACACGCCGAACTCAAAAGGTTCGCCATCACTGCACTAGGGTCTGGGAAGGGCCTTCACTTCCTTTTTGAGACTGAGCCACCCCCAGCACAGCTTCTGCTTTGCATGGGCTGGGGTAGTTTAGGGGGAGAGGGCGCAACCCTACCTTGCAACAGCCTGAGGCCCCTAAAACTCGCTGCACAGCCGCCAGCTGTCCCTTTTCAGTACTCAACATGCTGTAGTCCCTGGAACTATTGCCCCATACCAAAAGCCACTCCTCCATAGCCACGGGGGAGATAATATTCTTTAGGGTTCTGGGGACATGAAATGAGGGAAGGCTTCATGGAAGAGACATTACCTGTCCTGGTCCCTGAAGGGCAGATATAAATGGAGGGAACAAACATTCCAAAATAAGCATAGTACAAACAAATGCATGAATAGTAGAGTATCTAAGAGCAAAGACAGTTGTGGGTTGTAATCCCAGCTCAATTAGTTGTGTCATCATAGCCAATTTACACCTCTTTGAACTTCTGTTTAAATTCTTAAAAATCTAGATAATAATATTCCCTCTCCAGGGTCTGGGAAGATTGAATGAAATCATAATAAGCACCAGACACAGTCTAAGCTTTCAATAATAAAAAAAAACACGCAATCAACTATAAAGCAATAAATATGAGTCATTTTTTACAAACAATAGTAGTTAACTTTGCCAATATTAGTGAATAATGGGAGAAAAGTTTGGAAAGGTAAATTGAGCCCAGACCAAGGTAGGTCTTTAAAAATTAGGAAAATTTTAGAAAAATTAGAATAGAGCAAAGTCAAACTTTGTGTACAGAGGAGAGAGACAGAGAGGTTGCTTTAAAGATGGACAAGTTACTTGGAACTCCTTTGTAATTCATTAATGTTTTGTTTATTGTCTAGCACTCTGAGCTTCATGAGCTATGGATCAAGTCTATTTTGTTCACCACTCTATATTTAGAATCTTGCACAGCGCCTGGCCCACAGTATGCACTTAATACATTGAAATAATAAATGAAACATTATAAGGGTGGGGGCGGGGGAGAGGGGGAATCAAAAATATCCCAAGAATACAAGCATAAATGTCAGAAAAAAATACATAAGATTGTTAGTACAGAGGAAATAATGAGTTTAAATTCTGGACTCTACAAGTTTGAGAAGCCTGTAGTGCCTTGTGGTGTTCATATCCATATGTGGAATCGGAGCTCAGAGTGGACGGAGGTGGGGGCTCGAGATGTGTCGTTGAGACTCATTAGCATACAAGTAACGATCCACATCACGTGAGAGGACTGTGGCTTTAAGTAGGAGACACGTCCAGAAGTGCCGTTGGAGAGGAGTTCGGAGCGGAGACGGTAGTCAGAGAAAAGCGGCAGTTAGAATTAGGCAAAAGGAAAGACAAACGGGGTGGGGAAAAAAAGGTTAAGAATATGAGACGATTTGGAAGAGGCTGGTATCAAAGAGACAGAGGAGGATATCGAGGAAGGAGTGACCGTGACTATGCTCGTGACCGCGACTATGCTCGTGACCGTGACCGCGACTATGGTCGTGACCGCGACTATGGTCGTGACCGTGACTATGGTCGTGACCGCGACTATGGTCGTGATCGTGACCGTGACCGGGAGCGTGACCGGGAGCGGGAGCGTGAGCGTGAGCGTAGTCATTACCGTTCCCGCGACCATGATCGTTATTATGAGCAGCCACAAGCCAGTTACTCAAGGTAAGACTATATATAGAGATACTTAATTGATTTGAACCCCCAGAAGTTGTTGGCAGCTTTGACATGGGCCGTTTTAAAGGATGCTGGGGAGTAAAGTACGTTTGCAGAGGAAGTTAAATTAGCTTAACTTTTAATTCCAACTAGTTTATGACCTGAAGCCGGTTACTTAATTAATGTCTTAACTATAAAATGGAGATAATACGCCATAGTGTTACTGTAACTGAACAAGTAAATATGGGTTAAAATGCTTAGAAAAGTACCTTGCTCGTTGTCACCAGTCAATATATTTTAACTGTTAGCGAATCGGCTGTGGAAGGTGGTGAATGGCGCAGTCGACTAATCTTCATTTTAGGTCTATAAGAATGGGAGAACTGGATGAGCCTTTTCCACTGAATAGTGCAAATTCAAATAGTGAGCAAATTCAAATAGTGAGTTATCATAGGAGTACTACGGAGATGTTGGGGTTCAATACGAGGATCGATTCTTCCAGATTGTTCCAGAACTCTAAAACTTTCTTTGCCAGTCATGCGCAGTATGATTGCACGCGCTTCAAGTTCCACCCATTTTTCCTATAGGCTACAGGTCCTGTATGTCTTTCCTCGGTTTCTCATTGGTCTTCAGCTAGCCTTGGTCCCGCCTCTTAAAGCAAAGAGGTTCCCCCTGTCGGATCTTAGTTCTTTTTGCTTGTCTCCGCGCCTGCGGTAGGAAAAGTGGCAACATTAGCGTATCTAGTTTACAAAAGCAAAGTGACTTTTTTTTCTGCCAAACTAAGTAAATATCAAACAAGTGAATACCTTGGGCGATTGGGAGGGTACAGTCGGAACTGAAGGGAAGCGGCTTAAGGTTGGAACATCGGGATCCTTTTAAGAACGTACCGAAATACTTCCGGGAGAGAATGGGCGGAGAAAGAATTCCGTATGTTTGGCGGGTTTCACTATCTTCCTTAATATTTGGTCCTCCTACAGCAGAGGGAACCGGACACGTGAGGAAGTAGTGACGCCGCCACTGCCTCAACAGTCTGTTTCAGGCTCCCCGATGGCCATGCCTGTGGTGAGTGCCGGGACCGTGGGCAGGGTGCCTGAGCGCTGCAGTCGGGCGGCTGAGGGGAGGGTCGCCGGCCGGGTGGCTGCAGATCACGTGATCAAGTAGCGAATCAGGGGCTGGCCCGCCGGGCTCGGGGCGGGGCCCGCTCTCCGCAGACCCCCTCTATTCCTACACCCGCTGCCTGGGACCCCCAGCTCCCGACTCCCTATTCCCGGGGGCTGTGCAATCTCTTTAAGATGCCAGGAAGGACCCTGAGATGGGAACTAGCGAGAGGCGGGCATGTTGGGGTCTGTGGTTTGTGGCTTGCAAACTCCTTTTTGGATTATCTCCCGCTCTCTCTGTATAACTTTTGACCACCTGAGCTAGAAATGAAACTAGTTCTTAATTCAAATAGGCTGGGCTGGGTAAATGGCTAGGGAAGGTTTTTGTTTTGTTTTTTCCTGCAGGAGAAAACGCCAACATTTTTTTTTCCGGTTTTACAATTCTTTACAAATGCTGGTAAATGTTTATGTAATGTGAGGAAGTTTCCTAAGGACCTAATTTTTCAAGTAGTTCATTGAACTTTATTGTTACTATACATTTTTTTTTCATTCAACAACTCGATTTTGGTTATAACTTCTCTCTTGAAAAAAGAACTCGGCACTTTTCAAATTTATTCAGTGGCAGTTCTCCCACCCCCACTTTTTTAAAGTTTCTGGCTGGAACATTTTTATTACGGTGAATGTTTTGTAAAATATTGGAAGCCTAAAGTAAGTACTGAAGTACCAGTTTCCAAGTTAAGATTATAAATTTATATTTGAAGTGAGAAAAAAATGTATCAAATGCACTAATGAGAGACGAGTATGTCCTAAATATATGTACCCAAACATAGTGGAAATTTTAAAAATTGGAAACTTTTGAGCCCTAAGCCTTTAAAATGCCAACATTTATATGGAAGAATGTGGACTGTGTACAGAGCTGCAAAGTGATTGAAATAAATCAGCTTTTGTTGATGATTTTGTGTTTGTGAGCGTTTGGAAGGATGGTAATGTACACTTCTAAAATTTTTCTTGCAGGATTTTAAAACTTATGTAGACCAGGCATGTAGAGCTGCTGAGGAATTTGTCAATATTTACTATGAGACAATGGACAAAAGAAGACGGGTGAGTGTTATAGGCTATATTACTCTTTATTAAATACCATTATTTTTCAATCCAGCCATTCATCTGACTTGCATAAGTGATAACTCTGATATTGAGCAGACTGACATATTTCAGAGGGAAGGAGTGGTGGGAAGAGATTAACCTAAGAATTTATATGCATACATGCATAGCCCATGGACACAGACAATAGTGCCATGAAGGCCTGGGGAGGGAGGGAGTGGAGTGGAGGGGGTCAATGGGGAAAAAGGGACAGCTGTGATACTTTCAACAGTAAAGATTTTATATATATATATATATATATATATATATATATATATATATATATATATATATATATCAGCTTTGTGTTCACCTATCTCTGACCTTAAGCAAGTTGCTAACCTCTCTTAACCTCATTTTATTTTTAGAGTGATAAATGAGAATTTAAATACTGCACTTAACAAAGGACCCAACATATATTTATTTAAATATGTTACATTTTCTCAGTCCCAATTAACTTCAGTTTGGTTAAAATAGTATTAGTGCTGGTGAAGGAGTCTGACATAGGGAATGTTCCCAGATTTGTCCCTTTAATGGAATATATTAATAGATAATTTTTAAATTAAATCTCACAGCTGTAGCTGGCACTCACAAGCATAATCCACATGACTTGGATACTTTTAGTCTTCAAAAGAACAACTTATCATTTTGTCAGCTTTTTTCATTGTAATTTGTCCCTGAGCCATATCTTCTAAGTAATTGTTTCAGTATGTGCTTCAAGCTTGCCTAGGTCTCTTATCAGTATAGGATTGTATTTTAGAGAACTTTCTCAAAAATAGTTAGCAGGCACAGAAGCTAATATCTTATATCTAAAAATTTATTTTTTAAGGCAGAAGATAAAAGACGTCCCTGGTACTGATTTTTTATGACATGAGACCAGGGACAAGGGATGTGACAATGGATGTTTATTGTGCCTTCCTGCTTTCAAAAATAAAGTAGCAAAAAAAAAGGCAGAGTCGAGATATATGTTGGCCTTTAAATCCAAGATAAATTTTAGAATTAAGCAAATAATGAGTCCTGTGACACACTAAACTGCTGTGACTAAAGAGTTAACTGAATTTTGCCTTAGTGAAGCTTTAATTTGACTTATAAAAAACTGCTTGAGCAAGTACTGGTGATTCCTTTGAATTAAATATGCTGTTTGAGTAGTAAAAACAACCCATTCTTCCTAACATAACATTAAATGGCTCAGACATGAAATGTCTCCATGTATATAAACACTAGGATTAAAGTGTACAGGTAGGGCCTGATGGAAGACAACTTTGTTAATTCTCAGAAAAAGAAGGGAGACTAAAACTGGTTTGGGTTGCAGGTGCTTGAAACTTGTGACCATTTAATTCATTTAAATATAGAAAGCAAATTTTTAAAACTCTTCCAGTTTGGATGCATAGTTTTCTCATTGTGGCTAAAGTAAAATATGAAAAAAGTATATTTAGCTGCCTAGTTTATTAAGAGTAAACCTTGTTCATGTCTTCCAGTGCAAGGGGGCAGGGGAGTAGAGATGGAGATAGAACTATGAAAATGTTTGCATATTACCTGTAACCTTTCAGTTCATTTCTGTTAAAATGCCTTCCCAGAAACAAAACTATTTTCACTTTTCTTTTATCTTTTTTTTTTAGGCACTGACCCGGCTGTATCTGGACAAGGCCACTTTAATATGGAATGGAAATGTTGTTACAGGGCTGGATGCCTTAACTAATTTTTTTGAGGTGTTGCCTTCTAGTGAATTCCAGGTTAATATGTTAGATTGCCAACCAGTTCATGGTAAGAGCAAGGTCTTTCAAGGTGTTTATTTTGTTTTATTTTAGTGAGCACTGAGCTATCAAATTAAACTTTTGGTATCCTTTTAGACCCGTCTCACTCCAACAGATCCATAGTATGTTTTGGTGGATTGTGTGATTATAGTTTATTAACAGTTATGTGAGAAATTGAAGCTAAATGTGATTTTTATTTATGGGAAATAATAATTATCTATTTTCTCTAAATAGTTGCCTTCTATGCCTTGAAATGTCTCCAAAAAATTATGTCCCTAATTAATGTGTTTTATTATCTTACAATTTATTAAAATTTCACAGAAGAAACTTTTTACTCTGTTACGTGAAAGGATTTTTGGCAACACAGAATTAGATTTAAGATAGACTGATGCCATTTATAAGATTAACCTCTAGGTGGTTCCTAATTTTCTTTAGTAGGTTAGGGTGATATCTTTTTCCTTTACAGTTTTAAAAACAGCTGTAGCTTAAGCAAAACACGAAAAAGCTCTGTTAGAAACCCAATGAAATATTAGTAAATATAAACTCTTTAGTTTGAAACTTTAAAGTAAATAATTTTAGTATCTTTGAAATGATTATTTAGTTTTTTGGCTTTGGGTGTACATGCTTAAGAGTATGCTGAAAGTAAAGAAAGTTTATGAAATTTTTTTAAGTGTTAAATTATGAGCAATGTCTTTTAAGCCTGAAAATCTGCTTATTTAGATAGAGAAACTAACCTCTTTTTTTTTTTTGTGTGTGTGTGTGTGTGTGTGTGTGTGTGTGTGTGTGTGTGTGTGTGTAAAGAGCAAGCTACTCAGGCCCAGACTACAGTTCTTGTTGTGACCAGTGGAACTGTGAAGTTTGATGGAAACAGGCAGCACTTCTTCAATCAGAATTTCCTGCTGACTGCTCAAACTACTCCTCACAACACTGTGTGGAAGATTGCAAGTGATTGCTTCCGTTTTCAAGATTGGGCTACTACTAGCTAAAGGGACGAAAGTCCATTCTCCTTTGGTCCATTAGTTTCAGCAACAGTTTATGTGAATTAATTCATTTCATTGTAGTTTTAATTCCTAGCAGCACCTTTTCTAGCAGCTGCCAGTGTGGGTTATTGCCCTTAAGAGCTTTAATGCTAAATTTTTACATGCCTTACATACATTTCACTAATAACATACCTATAGTAATACTATAAACACATGATCTCTGTACTAACATACTCACTGTGAGCCCAGCCTATCGCAAAAATGAAATCCTTTTATAATACTATCTACAGGATATCAGCACAACATAATTCTCTGGGAGGAAGTAGAGTATTTTTTTTGGTTAAGTTAATTTTGTAATAGAACACATGTATTTTCAGTAAACACTGGTAATACAATTTAAGTATAAGGCTTTTTCAAATAAGTTCAAATGAAAATATTACTACTTTTGGTTTGCATAACTACTCTGACATATTAGAATCACAGATAGAGATGTTCAGTGTTACCTAATGTTTTCTATGTTGACATGTTCTTATGAAGTGAATTAATACACTAGAGAGGTATAATATGTTCTTAGTTGATACCTGGGTATTGGATATATTCAGTGACTTACAAGCAAAACTTGTTATAAAGATTTTTCATGGCAGCTCCACGTTTATAACTTTAGGTAATGAATGTTAGTGGGTCGCATAGCTTTAATGGGAGAGTAGGGAGTGAGAAATATAGAGATCCGAAGTTGGCCAAAAAGTAGGAGGGGTGGCCACTTGATAAATTTTTGGTACTTGTTTTCTACCTCCTAAAAATGTAGCCTATTTTTAGGGTTTAAGTCATTAAGATAAGTATCACTGCCAAGTGGTCACGAGTGTCACTTTTGTTCTTAAGATTACTTTTAAACGTTTTTCCAGTTCACCTCATACTTACCATCAATATATGTCTCAATTTATTCAAGAACTTATGGAGGTAAAATGTCAGCAAT